TTTTATCTAAAATGAATATCGGAGATTAAAATAATAACTTAAAATTCAAATAAATTAATAATTTTTTTAGATAATAAAATTAATATGTATTCATGTTAGAAAACCAAAAAAAATGTAATTTTAAATTGTAGAGAAATAAAAATTTTATTTAAAGATAAATTTAACTATTTGATCAAATAATATTAAAACCAAAACCTAACCTAATAGTCCATCGTTTCAAATAGGAATCTTAGAATGAAAATTGGTTCACACTACCTAAGTAAAATTTTAATGTTTAAACAATAATTCTTACCAAAAAAAAGAAACACATATTCTAACATAATTTTTGTTTAATATTTTCAAAATTAATTCTTTGTAGGCTCATATTTTCTAAGTTTTTTTTCCTACCACACACGATGTAATAATGAATTTCTTCCAGGGTGTAAACAAAACCAGGTTTATGGTCAAATTTTCTTATGTTAAGTTATCATTCCAAACACAATTTTGAAATAAAAGTTATTTTTTAGAATACGATTTTGCAGTTTTGAAATAAAAATAAAAAACCACGATCAATTAAAACACCATTTGTGTAATTTTAATTATTTTTCATTTTGATTTATGCTTAACATAATTTAAGCTTTTATCTATTTAGGAAAATGATATATTTAAATTGGTAATTCATCAAACTACAAAACTAAACTCATACTTTAGCACTAAAAAAACTTAAAAAAAAAAAAAATTGATGTATTTAATCATGAATTGCCGAATAAAAATTTTTAATTGCATAACTTTTATAAAATAAATAAACAAAGTAGTGTGTTGCTTCATAATTTCATAACAGTATTATAAATTAAATCACAATTTCTTAAAAATAAAATAAAATATGTTATAATATTTTAAGAAGTCTTTTTATCATTTACGAATCAAAATTAATAATAATTTATATATATTGATTAAATAGAGATGACTTTTAAAGATAAAATTATAATAAATAAGAGTTTTAAATATGGGATTAATAATAAAACTTCATTCTATTTATACCCTTATTAGAAGTTATATTTCCATACACTTAGAGTTTTATATCACTTAAAAATAAAAATTAAAATGAAGACATATAAATTATATTTTAAAAAGGATTTTAAGTTTTTTTTTTCTTTTATTTTATGAAGAAAATCTTAAATTTTTTTGAAAACAGGAGTTTTATGGTTCTATTTTTTATTTCTGTTCGTAGAAATTCTATAAAATTTCTATTTTATTTTTAGAAACTATTAATCTACAGGGTTATAGTTTGTATATAATTTCTTGAATAATTTGTAAATTTGGCTGTAGAAAACAACACATAAGTTATTTACGGTGTAATTTGTTGTTTACAAAATGAAAAACAAAGGAAACAAGAGGCATTTGAATAGGAGAAGTGCAATAATAAGCAACAAACGTTAATATCAAACAATGTCAACTTAATTACTTCTAATTACGATGCACATAATATAGATAGTTAACGTTAAACCAGTATCAATTTGTAATTGACATAACGAAGACACATTCATTTATATAGTATTGATGAACCAACATTCCAAAGATAAATTTTTTTGTTTGAAGTTGTGAAGTATTTCTTTTATTGGTGTGGTGAAAGAAGATAAAGTTAGGCAAAAATTGGTGATCGATTTGGTGAAGTGTCCCCATCAGACACACAAGTTTGAGATTTGGTTAAATGTTTTGGAATGCAATGTCGGAGTCCACCATAAACATTACCATGAGAGCAACATGCAGGGCCACTTCACCATTGTCGGTCATTTCTCTCTTCATTCACTTTATTTCCTACTAAATTTGAAAATGACAAACCCTCGTTCCGGTTAAATTATTGCCAACTCACCCAAATAATGCACTTCATTGTCCTCTAATTCAAAACAACTTCCCCACCCATCTTTTTCCAATGTGTACTTTATATAATATAAATATTAATATTATTCTAGGTTTTTTTATAGGTTAAAATCAGGACAATTAAATTCGTACCTGGATCGACTTGTCTCCGTCTCAAGAAAAACCCAAGTTGACCGAGGCAAGGACGGATTCGGGTTTTTCCTGTATGGAGCGAAGGCGGGAATAAGTAATACAATCTCCACCTTTATCCCAATCAACTCAAATTAGTTAAAAAAATCGAGGGTGGAAATCAAGGACCCGTCCCCGCCCCTATCCCGCCTCGTCCCATTATCATGTCTATGTGATATAGGTTGAAGTAATTAATTAATATAAAAATACTAAAATTTACTTTGATTATTAATGTATATTTACTATAAGAGTTCTAATTTTTTTTCTCCTTTAGCCATTGTAATATGAGATTTATAATTAATAATTATGATTTTTATTTTAATCCGTAGTAATACGGATTTATTCGTTTTTCTTCTTTTTAAATCTTTCTTTTTCTTTTATTATATTTTAAATTTCTATCTTTAATAATAATAATAATTTAATGAAGGCATTCATATATTATTAATATAAAAATTAATAATTTTTTAATTTTAATAAAAAATAAAAATATAAAGAAGTAATCTCAATTACATTAGATATTCTTAGTTGTTATTTTAAGAAAAAAAAATCCTTACATGAATAAAAAAACAAATTTTTTTTATATTATATTATATGTGTTCCGTTATACTCACGGGTTTTACATTGTTTAAGAGTTGAAACTAAGAATAATTTATATACATCTTCTTTTTTTTATTTACTTATATATTTTTAAAGATAAACTCATTATATATAAGAGCTCCAAAATTGATAATACTTATATATAAAAATTGAATTTATTCATTTTATACTAATAAAAAATATAATTTATATAATAGTCATCATTTATATCTATATTTTAAATCTGAATCTTAAATTTTAAAAAGAAACTCTAAATCATAAATTGAAATCTAATAAGAAATTACTTCCTCACTTATATTTATTTATATGATAAAATTAAGTATAAGGAAGGAAACGGTATACAATTAAAAACAAAAAAATTGTTCATCAGATTGAATCTAATCTCATTTTTTTTTTAAATAAGATTATAAGCTCGAGTTTTGTGAATGAAGATAAAACCATTAGAAAGAGAGGTTTTATTAAAATTGTTTAATAATCTTTTTGGTCAAAATTAATCATTTATAAACTCGTGAATATTTTATACTAATAACATGCATGATTAAATAAATGAACATATTATTGATAAAAACGAAACCTATAATAATATCCGCCCAGGGTGACTAACCTGGCCCGTGTAAATTTGGGCCTGGGCCCAAAGGTTCCGACGCAAGCGTAGTCAATATTTGGTGTAAAATATTATATGCGATGAAAAATAAAATTAAAGAATAAATAGTATGCTTGAAAAAATAAATAGTCATTTTTAATATAAATAAAATAAATTATGATTTAATATTGTATTATATTTTTTTAAATTTCATGTTATCATTTTTGTTACTGATAGCTGATTATTTCAAATAAAAACTCAACTAATGCAAATGATTTAATATTATTATTTTTTATTTTATTATCAATTTATTTTTTAAATGAATGAATTAAATTTTCCTATAAAAATTTTCACTTCCCATTGTTTATACAATTAATTATAATAATAATCTATTACAAATACAATTACTTACTTTTTTTTTTCTTAAATGTGATTTGGATCCTATTAATCGATTGAGAGGGTTTTGATTTTATTCCTGAAAATTTCATTATCTTGCATTGGTCATCAATAATTTTAGAATAAATTTTTCTATTTGATATTGCTGTGATTAAATAAAATTCAAGTCTTTTGCCCCATGTCACTTAAAAGAGGCCATGTGTGCACAACCTAAACCTATTTCACTCATTCTCTTTTTCCATAATCTTTGAATACATTTATTGAGGGGTTTGGTGTAGTGTGGGAGGATGGTTGTTTCATGACCTACCACAATTGCAGCTTTGTTGACAGAGAATTGATGCTATGAAAGTTCAAAACATTTTCCATTGAAAGGCCAACAATGTTTGATGATTCTAAAATCTCAGTGATATTTTATGTTCACAGATTTGAGCTGCAAATAGAAGGAAAAAACTCTGCAAAGAAAATGTATAGAGTTTTAAATGTTTCTGGTTTACTAAAAATCTTAAATTTTTGTGAAAGATCATGTACATGGTAAAGAGGTCAATTAATCAAATTTGTTATCGAGAATTTTCTGAAAGAAAAATCAGTCAATAACTGGTTATTTTTGGTGATCATAAGTAAATTACTAGCAGTTTAATTACAGATGAATACATATAAAGGTAAAACTAAGACAAACATGGAAGGTATGAAATCAATTTCAGTGATAAAAAGGGAAAAAATTAGCAAAAGAAGGTAATGAATCAATTTGCCATTAGCTGGTTGGTTACTTCTTACATGACTTTTATTATGTTAATGATCAATCAACTAACATGGTTCTTAGGAAGTAGAGGTTGCAACTCATCAACTTGCAACCTAACTTATTTTCAATGGGATTGCTTACCCTTGTGAATCTCATCTGTCTTTTCTCATCTTTATTTCTAGATAATGAGCATTGATTTGGCAAACTAAATACCACAGATCACATGTTCAAATTAGGAAATCTGATCACTTTTGTCTGTTGATAATGATATATAATACAGTGAGTTTCAGAGAGTTCTAAAAACATAAAATTAACCTATCAATGTCCTAATTGGATAATAATATACTACCTATCCACTTTATGACATAGTTTATCAGTTTTTTACCTTATTTTTCTTCTGTTTCTTTTGCAGTTTGTATTTCATTCATTCTCAAAGTAAAAACAACATAATGCATAGGAGACATGCAGTGAGAGTGAGTGAAAGAACATTGTGTTGGAATGTTGCCATCTCTTGTTTCTTAGTACCACACTCCACCACCCTTCAAATTCACTGTAACTGCATCTTTTCACTTTAATCCAACATGATAAATTGACCCACCACACAGTTTTCTTAAACTTCTCTCTCCATTGGAAGCCCTAAACCTAAACAAAACCACCATGACTGATAGGGTCCATCCTTCTGCAAAAACCACCGCCATCGGCGGCCCCAAGCCAACATTCCCAGCCACAAAATCCCAACTTTCTGGCGCCAACCGCCCCACTTACCGCCCCCAACCACCCCACCGCCGTCACCACAGCCGCGGTTGCGTCTCCACCCTTTGCTGCTACCTCTTCCTGATCCTCCTCTTCGTCCTCCTCCTCATCGCTGGCGCCGGCACCGTACTCTACTTCCTCTACCACCCCCAACGCCCTTCATTCTCCGTCAACTCCCTCAAACTCTCCTACTTCCACCTCACCTCTCCCTCCACCTTCAACGCCAAGTTCGACCTCACTCTCTCAACCACCAACCCCAACGACAAGATCCTATTCTCATACGACCCCACCTCCGTCTCCCTCCTCTACGGCGACGCCACGCTCGCCACTGCCACCATCCCCTCCTTCCTCCACCGCCAGAGGAACACCACCGTAATCGAGGCCTACGTCACGAGCACCGAGGAAGAGGTGCAGAGCGACACCGTCATGGAGCTGAAGAGGAGCACGAAGAGCAAGAGCGAGGTGGCGCTCAAGGTGAAGTTGGAGACCAAGGTAGACGCCCAGATGGGTGTGTTCCAAACGCCACACGTCGGAATCACCGTTTTGTGCGACGGAGTCGCCGTGTCTCTCCCCGACGGCGAGAAACCGGCGTCAGCGTCTGTTGAGAATACGGCGTGCAGAGTGGATGTAAGGTTCAAGGTCTGGAAATGGACTGTAGGATGACAATGGAACACCAGTGTCATGCTCTCTCTCTCTCTATATATACATACATACATATATATATATATATATATATATATATATATATATATATATATATATATATATATATATATATATTTTTTTTTTTTTTTTTTTTTGTGGTTCTTGTGTTTCTTTTCATTATTTTTTTCTTTATGTTATAATTTCTGTTTTTCATTTGGTATATTTTTCTGAAATTTCTTAACTATTGATTAAATGCTTGGCAAGGAACATTATTCAGATTCAAGTTTTCATCTTTAATTACCAGTAGAATTTAAATTTTTTATATTCTGAAGTTTATATTTAATCTAGTTACTATATTATAGTGTAGAAATAAATATAACATATATCATGTATCTTCTTTTATGACAGACAATTTATTTATTTTAGGCTGCAACTTAAAAGTATAACAGTTTAAATATTATTCGATAACTTTGTTATAATTGTTAATTAAATTATAAATTAAAGAGTATAATTTTTAAATACAAATTATGAATAATATTGAAAAACTAAATTACAATATATATATATATATATATATATTTTATTTTTTAGATACAAATTAAAGTTTTTATTTTAAAAGCAAAGTCTTAAAAATTTCACAATCTTTAATAAAATTTGGAACATACTTGACATGGAAAAATTATCCAAGCAATTGATTTATATTCTCTGATCAACTTTAAAAAATCTTTAAAATATTTATCGTAAAAATATAAATATTTGATAAATTTATATCAATTTCTTTTTCTGTTAATTAAGAAAGTTGAGGTTTCAATTCGTGCATCTAAACACAAGTCTACTGTGTCATCCTTAATTTTTTTTTTTAAGTTAAAAAATATATGATGTGTTTACCATAATTTCAATATTTTTTTTATGTATGTAAATAAAATTTGGTTTGACAAGACGTAAAATATTTGCGCAAATAATCATTTTGATGTTTTTTAAACATGTTTTTGAAAATATTAAGAAAATAAAAATATGTTTCAGATATGAAGTTTTACGAAAATACAAATATGTTTCAGATTAAAAATATTAAGTAAATACAAATGTAGTACGTAAAAGGAGAGATTGTTTTATAGTTATACTTTTAAAAATATTTTCTCTATAATTCAAAAATGAATTTTGAAACACAATGTTTTAAAAAATACATTTCAAAAGAGAATACATGTACAATGTTTTAGAAAGTAAATTATGAAATGTTAATAAATAAAAACATGTTTCAAAAATCATATTTCAGAAAGGAAAAACAAGTGTTATTGGAATTAGTTTTCAAAACTTTTTTTTTTACATTTTTAAATATACTTTTTTAATATATTTTTATTTTTTAATATTTTTGGGAAATACTTAAAAAATTTAGAAAGAACTTATGAAATGCATTTTTCTTACATATTTTCATCTTCTTCTTACTTTAAAAACTACTTTTTATAATATATTTTATTTTCTTAATTTTTTGAAAAATACTTACTATAATACAAGCACAACAAGGAGAGAAGAAGGGTAAATATGGACTTTTTTTTATCATATTGGGTAAAAAAAACTTTGATTTTATTAAAAGAGGTAAAAAAATTTAAATTTTCCAAAATAGGTTAAATCATACTTGATGGTGTGATTTTGAGGATGAATTGGTGCTTGATTAAAATTGTACTTTCAAGAATAATTTTGTTTTTTTTTAACATATGTTTGGTAGCATGAGTCTTTCACTTTTATTTTTTGAAAAAATACAATTTATTTATTTTTTAAAATATATTATTTATTAAATAATTATTTTTAATTGAATTATTAATTTAATAAAAAAAATATTTAGATAAAAATGATTAAATTTAATTTACTATATTTATTTAAAAATATTACATGCATATATATTATTACATAAAAAATTAATAATGAGACATCGTCTCACAAGGTGGTCTTCTTATTTGTTGTTTTTGTCTAGAAGGTTGGTCTTGAGTAAGTCTTTGTTATACTTGTGTAGCACGACTACAACCCTGTGATAGTTGAGGTTTAATGTTTGTTTGCTTATCATCATTTGCATACTGCATAGATGACATATTGGGCATAATAGTCATGAAGGTGCTTGATTGTATGCTGATGGTGTTATCATGGAAGAGGTAGAAGATATGTTTGTTTCATTTGGAAATGAAATAAATGTATGAGAAATTTGTTCTCCAAATTGAAATTGCACAAGTAAATTTTGAAGTTTACAAACATATCCAAAATATAGATAAGGTTGTTCATGACTCGACTGACCAACATGGACATGATTAGGTTGACCAATATATTGAGGTTGTTCATGTTGTTCTATATCGTGTCGTTAAAAAAATAAAATCAATAGTAATTTGATATCAATGTTATATATATAAAATAAAATTATTGATGTACTTACTTCTTTATCTGAATCTTCTTCTTAATTAGAGGAATTATATATGATAGTATGCTAAAAATATAATATCATATATGTTATATTTTCATACAAGTGGTCATTCTAGTTGAACTTGTTTCCTTGAATTAAACGATTGTGATGGTCATTCCACATAGTAATCCAAGTTGCATGGTATTAAAACCAAAATCTATCAGTTCTACCTCTCATGTCTTCTCTATGAAGTTTGTCAAGATTGATCGGGTCTTATAGAATTGGTTGACGAAGTTCAAATTGCCTCATAACCCGATTTGCTGGATGAGGTTCAACAATAACAAAACATATTATTGAAACTATAGTACGACTCACAGGAAAAAACTTAACATTTATTAGTCGTTGTAACTCAGAACAACGATAAGGAGTCCACATATTGAAAGTTGTAATAAATGAAATACCTCCTGTCGTCGCCGTAAAAAACGAGGGCGGTCGGAGCGACGCGATGGTTTCCGACTTTCCAATTTTCGCGTTTTTATTGGTGGTTACAACGCCTTTAGGTTGTTCGATAACCGGGTTGAACCTAGGGGCGAGGTTTTCGAAAGGGCGCTCTTGGATTGTCCGATAACCGGGCTAATCCAAGAGCTAGTTTTGGAGGGTTCTTTGGAGTCGCCACCGACGTTTTTACCAGAAACATCGGAAAAGGAGTTAAAAGGCGTTGGTTTTCAAAAAACCAACTTTGGTCATTAGAACCAGAGTTGGGTAAGGGAGTTAGTTACGCATAAAGGAAGTGTTAGTTTCTTTACGACGCCCCTTTTGGGTTCCCTATGATAGGCTAGCTACTTTGGATGAATAAATAAACCGGAAAATATGCTTTTACCCTTTATTTTGCGGAATTTAAAGTTATGACTACATGACCCTAATCTCTATTGCACAATTTAGAATTAAAGCGGTAAAAGTAGAGAAAGAGAGAGAGTAAACCTCCAAAGCAAGCTTTTATATTAATCTTTGCAAGAAAAAATAGGGTGCTTTGTGGCAGCCCTTCACTCTACACAGCGCCGGAAACCTCTCGAAACGCTCAAAAACACTCTTAGAAACGCTCAGAAACTCTGGAAATGCTTCGGAGGGGTTCTAGAGAGAGAATTTTAAGTGATTTCTAGAGAGAAGGAGGAAGAACTGTTGGAAATAAAGGGAATGGAGGCCCTATTTATAGGGATTCGCGCCTGTCAGGTCGAGACGGGCCGTCTCGTCTGACATGGTCGAGACAGCGGTCTCGCCAATCGAGACGGCGGTCTCGCCATTCACACAAGGCGAGACGGCGGTCTCAAATCCGAGATGGCGGTCTCGACCTTAAAAGGCAAAAATCCTTATTTTTTGACCAAAAATTCCTCCTATCCTAGTATGGGGCCTAATAGTCTCTCCTAGTGGCTTCTTAGGCTTCATCCATCTTCGAATAGAAAGTCTTCTGATCTTTATTATGAGGCCGGACAAGATTAGGGGTCTACAACTGCCCCCCCTTTACTGACCAGTCGGTTGTTGGCCTGTTGTGCCAAGAAGAACGACTGGAAGGTAAAGGAGTTGACCCTTTTGCCCGGTTACCCTTCAAATGTTCCGTTTTGCGGCGGTTGATCTTCTGGGGAAAATTTGTGTCGTGCACCTCCAGGATACTCCTTCTGACGGTAACCGATCCTTTGGTTGATGAGTATAAACCCCCCATCAGGCTGGTAGTTGCAGTTCGCTGTGTGTTGGACTGGATGGGTATGAACCCCCCATCAGGCTGGTACAGTCCGTTGTGTAGGACTGGTGGTGGTGGCGTCTTACTGTTCAGGTGGCTCATGTGCCAGTCAGGCACTCCTTGTGTACTGGTTGATAGGTATGAACCCCCTATCAGGCTGGTATAGTCCACTGCGTAGGACTGGTGGTGGTGGCGGCTTACTGCTCAATCGCTCATGCGCCGGTCAGGCACTCCTTGTGTGTTGGTTGATAGATATGAACCCCCTATCAGGCTGGTACAGTCCACTGCGTAGGACTGGTGGTGGTGGCGGCTTACTGCTCAATCGCTCATGCGCCGAGTGTTGAGATGTGTTCTTTTTATCTTTGTTTGTATTTGGTCGTCCGGTTTATGCCGAAGATTTTGTTGGTGTTCATCCGGCTTGTTGATTGCCGGGGATTCTTTGTTTTTGATCTTTTGGTGGTGATGATCATCCGACTCTTGCTGGCTGGCCGGGCAGTCTTTGTTTATGTTCGACTCTTGGTTGGTCGTCGAAGAATTTTTGGTTGTTTTTGGGATACATAATTGATAAGGTCTTACTGGGGTGCCTTGAGTGTTCACCATGCAAGCATGAAGCTGCTCTTTTTATATGAATGCTTTTTTGAGTCTTTTATTTATCTGAAGTATATTTGTTGGTTTCGATTCTGGTAAAGTCCTTTTTGTGCAATTACTTGTGTGTGGATGCTTTTTGATGCAATTTATTGAGGGCATCTAGAAAGTGACCGGTACTTCCTTTTTGTTCTCTCGTGAGTATTTTGTTTTTAACCCTATGTTTTTCCTAGACCGCCCTTTGCGGGTTTTCGATCTAGCGGGCTTAATTCTTGCCTGGTGGGCTTTTTTCTTCTTTCTCTTTTTTTTTGA